AACCTAGATCTTGAAATCCATGAAATCCTAAATCAGACCTTGAAAACAGCAAAGAGCACAGACTTATGACCTGTTGCTCTATGTTTTCTTGGAGCTCTCAATTACTTTGATTCTGCAGCACCTCTCTGGCCTTTTCCCTGCTCCTGTGTCTCTCTCTCCCCTCTCCTGCAGGAAAGGGCTCCCCTTCTGCAGAGCCACTTTGATGCACTTGAGGAAGTTGGGAGTGCTTTGAAAGGCTCTTGGCAAAGGTTGTATCATTAGGTGCTTCTCTCTTGGTGCCAAGGAAAGCTCATGACACTGTAAAAGCTGTTTGACCCAGGCCAATGGAGTCCTGCAAGGTCTTCGGATTTTCTGTTGCAGGTCTCAGACAGGAGCTTGCCTCCTCCTGCAGAGTGCTTCTCCCAGTTCTGAAAGGGAGACTGGTGTTCTCAAGTGGCCACACTCTCGCTAAAAGGTTTGCAGCTCTTTCATCTTTGTTTTCCTGTGTACAGTAAGGGAATTTCATCAGTCTTGACAAGTTAACAGCCTGAGAAAAAGTGGAAGAAATTGTCCTCGGGGGCAATGTCAAAGAAATTCAGGGCCGGTAACAGTGCTGCTATCCTGACATTTTCACAGCTTTACAGGGAACTTGTATATACTGTGCAGGCATGTTCCTCATAAATGACCTCAAGTGGCACAAGCTGAATAACAGCTTCTGCAATCTGCAGGTGTGTGTGTGCAGTCAGGGACATGACAAGGCCGTGGAGGTCAGGGGTCAGGAGCAGCCCTGGAGTCACCAGAGGTGGACAGGATGGTCCACTCCCACCAGCCCTGGGATTCCCAGGGGAGACACAGGCAGCAGATCCCCAAGGCTCTCTTCTGTATTTGGGTCACTGAGATTGCACACTCTGTAAGTCTGTCTATCTTTGCTGCTGCTTAGAGCATCTTCACACGGCTGTTTATGTACTGGTCTGTCTCAGTGAGCCTCCTGCTGTGTTATCTGTTCTTTTGTAACCTGACAGTTAGCACTGCCTGTGATAAGGGTGTGTTGTTTTATCTTTAAGGCATGCACTTGAGCCTGCTTTTGTTCTCACTGTGCTTGAAGCCTTTGCCCAAGTATTATTCTGTTTGCATGAGTGGCTTTTGAGCCTTGTTGGGGGAGAAGGGAGGATTTGGCTGTGAAAAGACAAAGCGTTTGTGTAGGTGGGATCTGTAATGTCATGGCTGTGACTAACGAGACCATTGAGGCTGGTGAAATGAGGAAGTCCTCCGCAGGCACAAGTAACCGTACCAGTGAGATTTCATGCTAGAGTCCAGGTCATATGAGCTGCGCACTGACAGCAGCTCTTCACACCACCCGCGGTTGGGAAGAGTCTGAGCAATTTGTGCTGTAGCAGTCAGTAGTGCCTGGAGATGCTGGGTCACTATTGCAGGCAGAAGCTCAGGTAGTATCTCTGGTAAAGGTAGTTGAGGATGCAGTTTTTGCATGGCAGACCATTCCTATATAGATACTCTCACTTACTTCTGCTTAACATTGCTAATCTGCTCTCCAAATTCGTCAAAACTGTTCGCCGTGTGATAGTGATGAATCGTTTCTGTAATTTCATCCCTTCAGCCCTTTCTTGAAAAAATCCAAGGTCAGCTTCAACAACATGACTGGTTAAGTTGTTCCACACTCCCACAGCCCTTTGTGTAGAGTAATACTGCCTGTTCATGGTTTTAAATATACGTATACTTTAATGGAAGGAGAGTTCAGTGCCTTCAATCCATCCCACAGCAGAAAGCAGAAGCACATTAACCAGGGCAGCACACATGACTGTATCTGTCTGCCTCATTGTGATCTGCAGTCAGAAATTACTTGTTTGGAAGCTGAAGGAAACTGGATGTAGTTAAACATAATTAAGACTAAAATGAAAAGTATAATCAAGTTCAAGCATAATGAAATGGTGACTTAAAGTGGTAAAAATGTCTTTTTTAAGGTGATCAAAAGGGACTACAGTAAATAGTGAACAGGTTTCTGCAGAGAAGTGAAGAAAGCAAAAGTTTTAATGACCTCTGAAACGCCAGCATCGATTCCACTGTTTCATTTGACATTTGGGATGGAGGGAGGGGAGCTGGAGGCACGTACAGAATAATGCTGGGGATTCAGAATAATGACATCCTGAGTTAAGAGCTTCTCCGTAGGTTTCCTTTTTCAAGGCCAGTGGTTGTCAAGGGCAACCACCTCCTGCAAAAATGCCCAGCTTGATGCGCAGAGGTCAGAGGGTTGCCAGGGCTTTCAAAAACAGAGGCTGCCGCCCCTGTGCACAACCAGCGACAAACAGTCTTACCAGGTCACCCCAGGACCTGTGGAGCCCAGGCGCTCTGTGCTCTAACACACCAGCCTGTCAGATCGCCCCTCCTGCAGCCAGATGTCTGCGCAGCTGGATGCAGATGTGCAGAGAACCCTTTCGCCCTCTTTCTGCAGACATCTTAGCAAGAGGAACAGTGTCACTAAGGCAGGTGCACTGATCCCTCTGGTGTGTGCAAGCATGCAGCCTGACAAAACCTGAGAATAATAATTAAAACACCTACATACTGATAACTACATAGAACACACCCAAGGCTGCTAGTCTTGTAGTTCTGGGCTCACTGACCTACTGACCTGAAGCTTCCTATTTTTAGAAGCAAGGTGTTGTGTTCTGGGCTCAGTGAGGCTGATGTGTGGAGGAGACTCCTTGGATTAACTGGAGGTACAGGATTACTGGTTTAATCAGTCTCACATCACAGTTTCTGCACCCCAGCTGCTCATTTTAACAGTTCACATCACAATTAAATGTAACAAAATCCATAGAGATTCCGTATTTTTATGCAAACCTGCGGACTGTTTTCCCAATTCGCAGAAAGTGTTGATACTGCAGGGTTTTTGCGGGCTGTGTGAACTTGCGGACAGGCCTGAAATGGCCTGGGGTGATGTCACGCTGACTCTGGCCTTCGTGGTTTGTGTGGCTGTACAAGGACAACAGGCCTGTAGTCAGAGGGAAGGGAAGCTTTCAGGCCCATTAGTCAGGGAAAAGGAAAAGCACAGCCTGCACAGCGCAGGTCAGGATACAGGCTAACTGAATCGGGATTCACTCGCCACCCTCCCACGTCCTCCCCAGAATACTATTGTGCTTCCTTACACCCCATCATTCACAAAGTGCTGATCATTAGGACCGTGCGCTCCGACCTCTGATGTCAGCTGGACTTCTAAAAGGAGAGTAGGAAGGGTCACAGGCGACATCAGTGTAGAATTGCTGAACATAGAAAGGCCAGTTCTGCTATAACGAGGACTGCATCAGATTGGCACAATCTGTATCGCCCAGCTGGACCAGATTGAAAGATTATTTTTAAGTATCCAAGCTGGTTCACGTTTGTTGGCACGAGAATTCAATTTGGCCAACTCTGACACCATATTGTAATATCAGGATGAAGATTACTAATAGCAAACACCAAAATCTAAAAGCATAAAAAGTCAAACTAATTAAAAGACAAATGCATTTTAAATGCAGGCAAGTACTGATTAAAGCCATAAATGTGCTGTGCTCACCTGTCTTGAACAGGTACCTTTACTTTTATTTAATTTAATTTAAATTTACAACAAATTTAAAATGATATAATTCTGTTTTTTTTTTCTTTCAGGTAAGAGTTTGGGTCAGTTAAACACAGTTCACTTGGAGCAAAACTTTGCAGACAGTCGCTGCTCTGGTATCCACATCCCAGCTCTCACAGGGCTCTGCTGCCCTCTAGTGGTCATTAGGCGTACTACTCATTGGCGTACTACTCATTGGCGTAACGGGCATTTGGATTTTCTCCACTCGCGCCTGACCTGCTCATTCTTCTCATTCTTCTTCCCAGCCTTCTCCTTCTCATCGCTGCTTCTGTCAATCTCTTTGAATACAGGAGGCACTTTTTTAAACACAAAGTTGTGGGTGTATGGAACAAGCTGTCTGGTCTTGTTGCCTGTCCATGCCTGGCTTCTGTCAAGAAGATCAATTATCTACTAGCAAACAAATGGACTGGATGTGCCAAATGTCTTATCTCACGTGTAGCTATTCTTATAAAAACAGCACTGGACGTGGTTTTACTGCCACAGAGTCACATGGTAGAACTCAGTGATTAAAGCAACAGCAACTGTCTCCGCTGTACATCTCTGTATTTACCTTTCCAGATGGTGATCGTGATAGTGCTGGAATACACCTGCCCAGGTTGCAGGGTTTGTTATATTACTTGTTCTGCTGCTGTAGTCAAAGCTATATAACATATTTAACTCCTAGATCCCTACAAAAACCTCTGTACCACTAGTGCCCAGAGAGCCTGGATGGGTAGAGTCCGCACAGTATGACTTAATTAGGAAAGGCTGATGGCAGAACAGAGGATACAGCCTTTTGTTTCAGAGGATTAAGGCCTATCAGTGCACTCAATACACACAGTATCTTAATAGTGTGTTATTGGGTTTAACAGAACTGGTGAACTGGAAACAACACTGCTGAAGCTGTAATATTAATTTCCCCAGGCACTATGACAAGCAGGTCTCTGGCTCACTCTTAATGACGCTGTAATCACCTGCCACGTCCTGGGCTCAGCATTGTGTTTGCTGAGCACGGTGCCGTTGCTATTTGCAGCAGCTCAAGGCCCAGCAAATGCAGTGCAGGGTGTTGTGTGGCAGTTGTACTGAAGAGCGTTTCACAAACACTACGGGGTGTCGTTGTGTGGTCACCACAACAAATGTTGTTGTTTGATTTGCAGGTGTGGTTCTGTATTTGTGACACTGCTTGTGTCTCTGTTCATCGATCCTCTCTGTGGGTCACTATGCTTTTGCCATGATAAGTGTAGTCTAATAGGTGTATATAGTGTACTTTTGCCCTCTAACAGCAGAAAGAATTCTTCAGATGTTTTATTTTTTACTGCATATGCCACATCTCACAAGTCCTTTTTCCTTTTCTTTTCCTTTGGTATTTTTGGAATTGCGATAGAAATCACACAAAGTTAGGCAGTCCTCAACAAATTTCCTTTTTACTTGTAGTGTAAATACTATGGATGTACACATTGGCCAGTTACAGCAAGCAGACACATATGGTACAAATCTGAACAGAGGACTCTCGATACAAGAGCACAGTACTCCACTTCTGAGGAAATAAAACTGGTTTCCTGACCTTTTCATGTGGAATTAGTTACACACTGCAGTGAGTTGTAACTCAATGAAAGACAAGTGAATCTGCCGGCAGAAGGATCTCTGACACCTTGTACAGCAGCAGCCACAGGCACGGGAGGTGTAGTGAGACTCTCTGTTTCTCAAGGTGCTCTAGAACAAAACCTCTGGGCACCTGCACAGTTTCCTGTGCTTTTACCCATGAGCTTTACTGTGCCACTAGTTTACACTACAGTTTACTAGGGTTGATGTTGATGTAATGTTAAAACTTTGGTATTAACTGATAGGCCTGTGGTACAATGTGCTGTGGTTTGATAAAACACAGACAAAGCCTACAGAAAGACTAGGATGGCAAGGGGACAATCACCGTAAATTACTGCCTGAGAAGGGCTCTGGTCAATATGCTACTTTACAGTATTGATCATGGATATTGATGGGGGCTAGTCTGTGTCACCTGGCAGTGCCGAGCAGAGAGAGGGCAGGATTACAGGGTTAGAGGATGGAGCAGAAGAGCTTCTTCTCACGGAAGGGGTTTTCAGAGGAGGGCACAGGTGTCACCAGGGGGTCCTCCTTGGCGTGAGCCTCACAGAACGCCAACAGGTCTGCTGCTGCCTTGGAGACCTGGGCAGAGGAAGAGAGAGGTGAGAGCCGGGCAACCTCAGTACCTGCCAGCCCATCACACTGGGCAACATCCCCTCTTCTTGAGGTCAGGACTGCAGTTGGGGTGTTAGCAGGTGGATTATGGGAAGATAGAAGCCAGTTGACATCCGTGAGGCACTAGTACACTCTTGCAGCAGAGGGCTGACATTTTGAGAGTAATTTATCTGGAACATTATCAATAATGGAACAACAAATTTAGCAGATGGTATATTTAATGATGTGCTTTTTAACCTTCTAAGTCCTCTCAATATAATATCCCTCTATGATTGTGTGTGTGCTGTCTGTAACATCTGACCTTCATTCTATCGATGTTGACCTCCAGTTTGAGCTGCTCCACTGTCTTGCGGGCATCTGCAATCTTGGCCATGTTATTCGACATCCTGGCTGCCACTGTCACTGTGGGAACAACACCAGTCAGCACCAACACACAGTGTCACAAACATCGTGGTGGGACAATGCTGACCCCAACATAGCCTCATCTCACTTAGAAGTCTCTCCTGGGCTCTAAACACTCAACAGCTTTGCCAGTCTTCTCTCATGTTCGTTGCCCATAGCTGGTGCTGTGCATGCGCTTTGCCCTGTTTGTTCACCAGGTCCCTTTTCCCAGAGCAGCACACAGCTGGCAGAGACAGGCACTGTCTCCCAGGACAGAGGGGCAGGCAGAGACACGCAGAGACCCAGCTCCTGGGGAGTATCTCCCATCCATGAGTATTACATAAACACCACGCGCTGTTGTTACACTGTCAAGAAGATTTCACTCTGTCTTAAAGGGGAACTCACCAGTCCTGCCCCTGGCTGTGCTTGGCCTTGGCTGTAGTTACTGTTAACTTCTAGACATTTTTTATCTGTATTTGTCTATTCTCGTTCACAGCACAGCTCCAGAAATGTCAGGTGAATGCAAGTGATTTTCAACTGGTTGAAGAAACACTGGTTCTCAAAAACACATCAAAGGAGTTTTGAAAACTGGTTCTCTCAGTATTATTAGACCACCTCACTCTTCACTAATCATTAGTGCCAACTAAACAATATTTCTATTGAAAAAAGTAAGACATGCGCTGGAACAGCAGGGCGCTGGGCTCCTGCAGTCAGAGACCTGGGGGTGGTGAGGGCATGACAGCGCAGTGCTCCTGCTGGCTCTGCAGGAGGCTGAGCTCTGCGCTGCTGCTGCGTGGAGGAAGCAGGTTGGACCAGGCTCAGGCCCTGCACGTCCCTCCGCTGTGCTTCTTCCAAATCCACACGTCAGACAGGAGCTGCGTGGGAACCAGAACCAGGCCCACAAGATGCCACACAAGCTGGAATATCAGCCTGTTGCCCCTCAGGGCCAGAGAGGCAGGTGGCTGGGAGGCGGGTTAATGACAGATCAGCCTCTCTCCACTGGGGCGACCGGAGAGGCCGTGCAGCAGGACAGGCTGGCCCGGATGGCGGGGCTGGGAGCAGGCCGTTCTCCCACCCTGCCAGCACTGAAACGCTGTTTAATTGTGTTGCTGCTCAATCACCCATTTGGCAGCTTTTGAAACAAAATTTGCCACATTTGGCTTTCTTTCATGAAAAGAGGTTTAAAAAGCTCATTGAATAACCCCTTTTGCAGCTTAAGCATGCTGTGAGTTGTTTCATTAATTTCTTCCCTCTTTTAGTCCACAAAGATAATCCAACTGTTAGGTCCACCTGCCCAGTTCCTTTAAAACCTGCACTGATTCTCCTGGTGTGTGTGCCAGTGAAAATAGCCATAGGAGCACAAAATTGTAGATTAAAAGGTTCTGGTTCAGACAACGCCACCCAACATGGAGATCATCTGACATTAGCATTTGAAATTACATCATCGCCAGTAGTGTCAGAATTACACGAGTGTCAGAGCTTATTTTGCCGTGTACAATTCTGTACATTGTAAACACAGTGATTAGTTGTTAATTGGCTTAAAAAAGCTGTATCACTCATGTTCCCCTGGCACTGTTAATTTAATAACAGTCACCCAGACTCAGACAGGTGATCGTGCAGCTCTGCTGTTGGCTGGGCCTCAGTACTCGCTAAACTAAAGTGAGCAGACAGTTATTTAACAGGACTGGCATAAACAAGCATGATTTCCAGACCTTTCTGAAAGAATGCTGATTGAAGTGAGTGGAGCCTGAAAGGCCAATTAAGTCTCATCTTACAAACATCTTTACAGGTTTTTTACAGATTTGTATTTCATTCTTAACAAACTAGGTTTTTGAGAATTAATAAAGTCTCCAAGCCTCTCTATTCAACTAGAAGGTGAGAAGCTCCACTCTCATCCCCTTTCAGCAGTCAGCCAAACGCAGTTGGTTTTCTGCTGTAATGAAACCTCCCTTCTTCAGTCTCACACAGACCTTTGCAGAAGTCGGCTTCCTGCTGTCCTTTAGAAAAAAATGCCTAAGACATCAGCACAATTCCATACATATTTAACATACTTTTATTCTACATTTTACACAAGTTCACTGCATATGCATGGTGATAATGCCACAGTTTTTTCATAATTAATATTTACAGGGACTGAGCTACACTATAACTGTAAAATTAACCCTTAGTGCTCCACACAGTTGGCTACAGTTGACTACAGTGCAGTAGTCTAGACAACCACAGTAAAAGTGTGGGAAAATAAATGTTGCATTCAGAGGCAATGTAAGGTAAAGAAGAAAATACAAACTCTCCCAAGGGAGGGTTATGAACTGTCTGCAACACAAGCAAGCACAACAAGTCTGCGTTTAACATATCTGAAAACACCACAAGTCTAAAAGGAAAATACCAGCAGTGCAGAGCAGAGCGCAGGTGTCATCTGTAGACAGGCGTTTACAGCCCTGGTCCTGGACAGCCACAGTCCTGCAGGTTAAGGTACCACCACTGGACTCGGGTCCAGCCGAGAACTGGTTTAGCCAAGTCTCAGCAGTCCTCAGAGGAAAGGGAGCAGGCCGCACGAGCAAGCGGGGATACGGGGGTACGTACCTTGGCGGTCCGGCTCGGCTGCAGGTGGATGGAGCTGACGTCTGCAAAGCTGGTGCTCTTCCCCCAGACACACCGCCCAGACACGGAGAGAGAGAGAGAGAGATCAACAGGGAGGGGTTGAATAAGTCTCCTCCTCTCATCTTCAGCCCTGGTGGTGTCCTGGGGTTTTTCAAGGGGGTGCAAGAACCTGCTGTAATAACAGAAGAGAAGCCTCTCTCTCTCACCTGCTTTTGGGCGTGTTTAATTCTACCCTCAGACCTGGTGTTGAGGGAACTGGAAGAACTACAGGCAATATTTTGAAAGAATTTATACATCACTGCATTGAGTGTGTGCCCAATATGATATAGCCAAACAGAAACAACTTGGAAAGTCACTCTTTATAGTATTTTGAAGAATCTGTATGATTCCTTCATGAGTACATATAATACCTGTGTTGTTTTAGCAGTACAGACATAGTTTGAACTTAATAGCATCCAGTCAAACCCAGTACAGGGCAGAGATCTTCCATGATTTCTACAGCACAGTTTATTCCCTTTTCTTTGGTGCTTGTTGAACAATAGATGTGTGGAAGTCTTGCAGAACTCCTGTAATCACACTGGGAAGCTGGTGAATCTATGCAGGTATTGATCTCTGCATCTGTGCTGCATGAGTTTTTAGAGTTCGTCTTTTCTTAGTTCATGCAGCACTTTACTGTGTTTCGAAGAGGGGTAGGTGAGAACATCGTGGTTTTCAGATATCAGGCTCATCTTTCGCTGACTCCGCCCACCTCTCTAGTGAAGTGTCAGCTGTGTCCCGTTTGCTAACAAATCTGTTTTACAAAGCGAAGGTTCAGGCTGTGTGGGGAAGCAGGTTGCTGACTCTCAGCTCAGCTTGCAGGAGGCAAATAACTGGGAAACGGGCGTCACTGAGGCCTGAAGCAGCTCCTCCAGGGGGAGGAACTCGGAGTCTTGAGCCTGGCTCCTCGGCTGGGACGGGACACAGATGTGCAGGAAGGAGCGCCCTGTGGAGCCCACCTGAGGGCTGAAATGCCAAGTGCCTCATTAGCTGGCGTTCCCCTCTGTCTGGGGCCGCGATACTCTGCAGGGAGGGGAAGGGCCTGCAGCGCATCTTTCACAGGAGGCGCTGGGACAGGAGGCCCCTGTTCTGAAAGGTCTGGATTGAACTAAAGCCTTCAATACATGTTGATATTTACCAGGTGACATCATGAAGCTACAGCACGTTTTAATGCAATTAACAAGAGGTGCATTTTATTCACCTTTTAAATCTGTTTTTAAAATGTGTACAAACTCTCCCTGATCAAAACGATCTGGCTGGTCGTGATGGAAGAGCACTGCAAATTAGGGTAGCAATATTCATTCACAGCAGACAAATTGCAAACTTCAATTATGGATAATTGTGAAAAAAAACATTCAGTGTGTATCTTGGAATTAGTAAGTAAGTAAAGTAAGTAAATTAGTAATAAGTAAAATTATGCTGTCTTGCAGAAAATATGCACCGGAATCAGTTTAACATGGATTTCATTCTCTTTTTAAAAACCAGTCCTGAAAACTTGGGGGCCAGATGGCAGCCCTAGTGTCTACTCCCCCCTTCGGTCTTTAAAGCTGTAATTAACTTTCTTTAAGCATCTTCATTGCTTAATTAGAGGTCAGGTAACTTAATGGCAAAAGTAGTTCCAGTGTCTGCCTGGTTTCTCTCCTCAGGTGGGACTGATCATAGCTGTGATCTGTATAATAAAGCTACAAAACAGCACACAGGCAGGATCTGCTGAGCTCCCTGCTCAAAGGCTGTTATTTTCCACTCTGTATAACCTACTTGCTCCAGAGTGAACTAATTAGATGGACAATTTGCTCTTTAGCCAAATTCTACATTAAGATAAGATGGGTGCACCATGTTTTTTTTTTCATTTACGCACAGTGAGAAATGTTAAAGCTGTGTTCTCCAGTACAAGGCAGTCAAGGACACTACTGGGCAGTGGCCCAGTAGACAAATGGGACACCTGTGCCCTTTTCTAGTGCCCGGACTCTAACTGGGTTCAGCTTGAAGGGTTAAAGAAAAGCAACAGAATCCTGCAAGATGGGCACAATGATCCATCTACATCTTTTATCACTCTGTGCCCCACGGTACCAACAGTGTGGATCCATTAGACTGAGGCCACTGCAGTTCTCAGTGCCAGCAGTGGGCTCCCAGTGATTTCCTGCAGTGAGCTGGACAGACTCAGCTGACCCCCCAACAATCAGACCCTCTCCCCACACACCCCCCAACAATCAGACCCTCTCCCCACACACCCCCCAACAATCAGA